CAGCAACCCGGCCCCCGGCTCAAAAAAGTTGCCTACCCCTGCTCTAGAAGTTTAAAAAATGGGGTTGAATCCAGTGAAGCCACAATTCAAGTGTCACTAGGGATCTAGATCTATTCAGGGGCTTTGGGCAAGTCACTGAAATGGGAAATTCAAGACTAACCCAAAAGATTAATCTGTAAGGCACTGGCCTTTTCCTGTGCAATAAATGTTTAAGACCAGAACAACAGCAAAGCACTGTGGTTAAGCCAGGGGAGGTTTTTAGGAACCTGGTGCAAACTCTCCCATCACTTGCTAGCAGGCGAGGTTACAAGCAAGCCACTCCTCTCAGAGTCAGCTCCCTACCTGTGATAGAAGGCCTGCCTTGCAAGACTGATGCTAGGATTACTGATCTAACATACTTGAATGGATGTGCAGCTAGTAAAAAACTTCCTAGCTCTATAGAGTTTAAGTGACTTGGAGTAATACCATACTGCATCTGAAGAAGTGGACTGAAATGCACAAAAGCTCAGGCTAAGTCAGCCTCAAAGGTACTACTGCTAGTTTTTTCTCCTCCAGAGGCTATGTTATTATACTTTGGGTCAAAATGCATCTTCCTTAGAGGAAATTCTTTGCAGTGAATTACGGAGTGCTTGTTCAGGAAGGAAAGAGCCAGTGTAGCATAATGGTTTGAGTGTTGGACTACAACACTGGAGACCAGGGTTCGATTTCCAGCTTGGCAGCTGAAACCTACTAGGGGACTTTGGGCAAGTCACACACTTTCAGCCTCAGGGAAGGGGAATGGCAAACTTCCTCTAAACCAATCTTGCGAAAAAACAAACAAACAAGGATATGGTTGCCAAAGATAGGGTTGCCTTAGGGCTGAAGGCACACAACAACACAACAATGTTCAGAAAGGAGACAGTAGTTCAGCTCAGAGAGTGTAAAATCCACATTAGAGCCATACCTTTATTGGGCCAAACAACTAGTCACAGAAGTATAGCATGTACAAACTTTCAAGACAACATTACCTCTATTAAGAGTGGGTCTGTCTTATTCATTACTCCAGTCCTCCTTCAAATGTGTCAGACTATATCTCTCATCATCCTCTGCAGCACAGCCAACTTGTAGGTATTGTAGACCATTGGCTGCATTGGCTGGAAGATTATGGATGTTATAGTCCAACACATCCCAAGGGTGCCAATTGGGAAAAGCTGCCCTATGCTACATCTGCTGTTTTGGGACTCCAGTCCTCCCAGTAAAAGCCCATCTCATCCACCAGTGCCCAAATGAGTATCTATTGAGTATAAACTTTGTGGCAAATCTGATCTTATTCTTTGGTTTCAGAAGCCAAGTGGAGAAATTTGGAGCATCTGAGCGACAAATTTCCTCCCAGGCACAATGGTCCTAATCCTCAATGTAAAAATTAATAGTTGGAGGTTTTTTCTGTTCAACCTACACATCGGAGAGGGGCTGCTGAGAGCTTTCAAAAATCAGGGGGCAAGTCTTCTTCAGTCTTTAATGCCCCTAAAATCCTGGACTCTTTGGGCAAAGTGTGGTACATGGGATACCTGTTGCCATCCAGGAACATTTTTGAGGTTCCTGGAGGTCATATATATATATATATATATATATATATATATATATATATATATATCTCCAGGGTTCGAATCCTCCACTTGGCCATGGAAACCCACAGGATGACCTTGGGCAAGTCACACACTCTCAGCCTTAAAAGAAGGCAATGACAAACCCCTCCTGAACTAATCTTGCCCAGAAAACCCCACCATAGGGTTGCCATAAATCAGGAATGACATGAAAGCACACAACACCAACCAGAAAACAGCTTCTGTTCATTTCTTGTTATTAAATAAGGTCTCGCTTGGACCTAAAATTGCCCAGGGGGCCTGAAAATGATGAGCATGCCCCCCACAACTAGCTGGCATTGGAGGGGTGTTTTTGTTTTTGTTTTTTTGTTTTTGTGGGGTTCAGCCCTCCAAGGTCCCCTGAAGCCAAAGTGGCCCCTGGCCTTCTACCATTGCCCACGCCTGCCCTACATGTTTACTCTACCTCAGCATCCCATGCCTTCAATTTCTCTTTCTCCTCCAAAATACCAAGTCCAAAATACGTGCATCCTCTTCCCCATCGTCACCATTAATGTGCAACCAGAATGAAACCTTAGAGATGTAGCTGTTTCACTCTGGAATAATCGGTATGCAAAAAAATCTTGTAACACCTTTGAGACTATCTTAGGGTGCATCCAAACTGTAGAAATAATGCAGTTTGACACCACTTGAAGTGCTGTAGTGCCATCCTATGGAATCTGGGGATTTCTAGTTTTACATGGTCTCTAGCCTTCCCTGCAAAAAAATGCAGTGTCAGACTATTAATTCTGCAGTGTAGATGCAGCCTACTAATCCTACAGAATATTGGGGCATTTGTCTCTTGGTGAGTTATTCAGCTTGGTCTGTCAGAGGAGTGCCCTGGGGCCTCACCAAACTATGAATCCCAGGGTCCCATAGAATACAGCCACGGCAGCTAAAATGGTGTTGAACTGCATTAATTTTGCAGTGTAGATGGAGCCCACTAATCCCACAAAACCCTGGGATTTGTTGTTTGGTGAGGTATTCAGCCTGGTCTGTCAGAAGAGAGCCCTGAGGCCCCATCAAACTACAAATCCTAGGATTTTGTAGGATGGAGCCTTGGCAGATAAAGTGGTGTCAAACTGCATTTTTTCTACAGTGTAGATGTTCCCTGAGTGAAAGGAGTCACAAAGGTGCGATAAATTCCTTTTCATAAAGAATTAAACCTGTGATTTAGGAGATTAACGTTATTTTCCCCCAATCTGGGCACGGGACAGGATCGTGCTAGGACGTTCTGGAGATTATGGCATTTACCTTTTTTCCCAATCTGGTCACAGGACAGAATCGGCCTGGGATGGGTGTTATTGGCCCACCAATTTTGGTAGTACAGAAAATTACTACCAAAATTGGCCAGCTAAGGGCCACTGAGGGATGGGTGATGGTTGGGCAGCAGCACAGTAGCATTTCTGTGTGCGATAAAACCCATCCCAGCCTGATCCCATCTCATGCCCAGATCGGGGGAAAAGGTAAATGCCATAATCTCCATAATGATGAGCACAGACTTACTGTATTTGCACCAATCCAGCTGCAAAAATGGATTTTTGCTTCCAGAACGTCATAACTGTAGCTCCTGCTAATAATACGCCATGAGGGCCAAAATAGTCATATTATAAGCAACCCCTCTTTGTGACGGATTCACATCACAGAAAACTCAGTTGGAAGCACTGAGGATCCTCTGACCCATTTAGAATTAACCCCAGAAAAATGGGTCCATTAATGGGCAACTTTTCTGGCTTCAATCAGTGCGTTATGCTTAACTGAACCACATGAAGGGCCACTGAAGTGCATGGCAGGATGATTTTGATAACAGCCATCTTCTGGTACTTGTATCTTTAGTTCTGTACAGCATTCAAAGGCTCTGCTTAATGGAACAGCAACCTCAGGGGCAGGGAAGGAAGGAAGGAAGGCCCCCATCAACCTACCTTACAGGGGTATTGTAAGGATTTTTAAAAAGTGGGGAAGAGAACCACCGTGTATTCCACTTTGTGGGCCTTGGAGGAAAGGTAGGATAATAACGTAACAAAGAAAGAAAGAAAAGGTGAAGAATTTGGAGAGACATGCTGGAAAGTGAGCAAGGTGTGATACATAAATAACCAGACTTTTGACCTGGAATCTATCTGCACTACACAGTTATATCATACCACTAACTACCATGGCTCCATCCTGGGATGTGTAGCTTAGAACCCCATTATAGGTTCACAGCCTTAGGGTCACTATAAGTTGGAAACAACTTGAAGGCACACAACAAAAACAGGGTAGTTTGAATTCTTGGCTAGGGAGTTCTAGTCTTTTCCCCTGAACTATATCACTAGGTGAGCTATCTGGCAGATAATTTCTCTTGCTAAACTACAATTCCTAGGGTAACATAAGAGTCATGACAACTATTAAAGTGGCAGGAAGCTGCTATTATTATTATTATTATTATTATTATTATTATTATTATTATTATTTTCCCTTCCACTTTTTTGGCAAGTGGGTAGAACCTGGGCTTCAGCAACAATAACTGTCTGATATGAAACTGCTATAATTTAGTGAATAATAATAGTAATAATAATAGAATTCAAATATATAGCTGTG